CATTTTTTAAATCTTGTTTGTTTCAGAGTTTATGAAGTCTCAACTAAAACCAGCCATTTACCAAATTGTGCTGCAGATGGGCATCGGCGGGCTGCTGTTTGAGGAAAAAATGCTTTTTCATGAAACGAGTAATCTTGATAAGAATACTAAATCAGGCGATGAACTGAACTGGAAGTGCCCCGCCTTCATCATTGACTATGTGAGATTTTATGAAAAGGTTGAAAACCTTAAAAATGAAAGTCAGCAAGTGATAAAGTGTAGCGACCGAAAAATGCTTGTACAAAAAAGCTACAAGTGGAACGTCGTCGAGGAGATTTGCCAGTCGGCAAAAAGGACAACCTTCTTTGGAAAGGTTTATCGGCTGAGAAGTAAATCCCTTTTTGAAAACTTACCAATTTTTAAAAAATTTTTACTTTTTGTAGAAACCTTAATCTGTCTGGCAGTAAACATTGCCATCATCATTCTGATCGCTTTCTTACTGTACAAAATTTGGTCCCTTCGAAGGCGACTTTCTTCCGACCAAAAGCTGCTGAGCATCTTTGGTGATCAAAATGTGGAGGGGGCAGAAGAGAGTGATAACACCTATGAAGCGTTGGGCAATGACTATGAGGATTTTGGAGAAGTTGAGACTGAACGACCTGAATCAAATGATAATAATCACCAAGTTTATGGCTATCAACAGAGTAAAAAAGAGAACAATTTGAATGATAAAAGCAAACCAGTTCAAGAAAAAACACTAGAAGACATTTATGCGCAGGTGATAAAGAACAAAAAAGTTAAAAATGTTAACAAAGGTGACGGGGAATAAAAACATAAAATAAAAAATGATTTTATTTTTCTTTTTTACTCCTTGATTGGCACATATTCATTGGAAACTCTGGGGGTGATTGCCTGATGTGGTTGATTTGTAGGTTTAGTCATTTCTGGTTTGGAGTTTTCATACTCTGCAGCGGGAAAGGGAAATGACACCTGCTCGCCGTAGCTGGGAATCTCGTAGTAGTCAGTTGGGCTGCAGTAGAGGTCATCGTTGAAACCGTTTGGATTTACGGAATTTGAATTCACATTCAGATTATTTTTCTGTTGAACCTTTTTAACTTGAATGATCAGGTAGACGATGAGGATGATGAAGATGAGGAGGAGGGCGCAGGCTTAAGAAAAACATTAAAAGATTAGACAAAAATTTATAACAAATCAGCAAACAATCACACTTACTAAAGGTAAACTTGGAGCTTCCAAAAAAGTCGGCCATTGAAGAGGAGGAATTATTTGTCGCTAAAGAAGTAGAAGTTGTAGAAGCAGAAAGTGAACAAAAAGTAAAAACACCGGCGATGAATAAAGAGTATTATTACTTGAACTATCACCGCCCTTAATCTTCTGATCACCTTGATCTTCTTTGATGACAATCTTTGCCCGCTTCTCCATCTTCTCCATCGACTTCTTACGAACAATCTCCAACTTCTTCTCATCCTCAACATCGCTTCCGGTGCCCAGTTGGACATCACAGTTTGCCAAGTTGGTCACATTATCCCCATCTTTTTCTTCAACCACCTTCTCATAAACCCGCACATAGTCAATCACATAGGCGGGACAGCTCCAACGAAGACGTTCAAACTCCGCTGGCATTGCCTGTCCAAATGCTTCCAATCCCACACCGAGCTGAAATCGAATTTGATGGCCAGGGTTGAGGCCACTTCCGTTCAGCAGGGGAAAGGGGCGACTGTAGGCGTCGTCGAAGAAGAAGTGCAACATCGAGCTGTTCCACTCCACGCCGTAAAGGTGAAATCGGTGAAGATCATCAGCGGTCAGCAGATCTGCCGGCTGGTAACCGTTTCGACTGTTGCTGGGAAACAGTCCCCGGTGCAGTGTCTGCTCGCCCATATTTGAGCCCATGTCGACGACGCCGTTTTCATGCCAATAAGCATCGCCGGGATGAACGGTGAACATTACAGTTCTCATCGATAAACCTAAGGGTTGGGAGGCTCGAATTTCATAGCGGCCTGGTTTGAAGGTCGCCGTAGAGGTCACCACGGCAGCGGTGTAGTTCTTATCAAGGTACGGCTCCTGTTGGGCAAACAGCGCCAGGTAGCCTTGAAGAAGGTGGACATTGTCGCGGGTGTTGCAGGAGACGTGGCGGATAAAGTCGCCTAAAAAAGAAAAAAAGATTAATTTTAAGGTTTAAAAAGTAATGAAAGTATTACCATTGCAGCTTTTTGCCTCGTGTTCCACCGTCCAGCGATTGGTGTCAAGTTTGGAGCTGTTCTTTTCGTCGTTATTGAACTCCTCGTTGTAGACGAGGCGCCAGTTGGCATTGTTTCGCCGTACAAAACACTGTTTTTCTGTTGTTGTTTCAGTGTCATTTGTAGCCTGAATTAAATTATTTGTTAATAAAAATGCAAAAAAGAAGCAAAAAAGCCACAAAGTTAACTTAAAGTTTTGCATTGCTAAAAATTAAACAAGTTGGTTGATTAGCTAACTAAAATTAAATGTGACTACTTTGGCTTCGGCTAGAAATGCAGCACAAAATCAGTTTCTGTGTATGCAGCTAAAAAATGTCATTTTTGTGTTTTGTCGGTGCTTCTGCTGCTGGTGCTGCTTTCATTTCAATCAATGATTGCACTTTTGTGTAAACGGAAGCTAGCCAGTGATTGTTCTCAATGTGCATTTGCAATGTTGTGCGTCAAAAGCACTTTTTGCTGCTCTAAAGGAAAAGCTGAACTGCGTGAACTTTATTTTTTCAGCTAAAATGTGAGTTTGATCTATTTGCTGATAAACAAACAAAAAAGTACAGTTGATAACCTTTTTAGTTAATAAAAAAGGTAAATATCACCGAAAATAAAGTAGCACAACAATCTTCCGCATCTGTCCTGACGATGATCTATATTTCTCAATGATCTATTTTTTGTATCTTAAACTTTTTCAACTGATTCAGATGTGTCACAGCAACAACTGCCTTTTTATTTGTCATTTGAAAAAAGTTAAAAACAACTCACCTAATTTTGTTGTTGTTGCTTCTGCTGTTTCATAACTTGGCAACAAAGATGATGTGTCGTTTTTAGTAGCAAATGCATCAAAACGTTTTACCAGGTCAACACACAGAAAAGGTGTGTTTCGCGTTCAGTTCACTAGAAGTTACATTGTAAATTTGTTGCTTAGTAGTACAATACCGATGTTGTTGCTGAGAAATCAGTGCACTGAGTAGTCTTTAGATGACCGCTTTTGTTTCAGATATTAAAATCAAAATGTGCTTTTCCAGCTAATAAAGTCGTCAATTAACAAAAACCACTTGTTGCTGCAGTGCGACAGTGGTTGACTTAAATCGCCTGTTTTCTGTTATCTATTTTTTTTAATGAGCCTCTTGACTGGAGAAAGGTGCTGCGGCTGATGTTTTTCTTGTTGTTGTTGCTGTTGCCAAACAGTCTGCTTCCACTTTTTTCTCCCTTCAGTGCGACTGAGGCAGCAGCAGCAGCAGTAAGAAAAGAGCATTTTCGCGCGCATTTGCTGCTGCTGCTGCTGCTGCTGCCGCCGCGACTGATGGTGCACACTAGTGCTCACAAAAACTGCCTGTCTTACACACTGCGTCTCCAAAGAGCAGACGAGACCACTAGCTGTCTGTTTGCCTGGCCTGACTGGCTTTTTTACCCGCACTGAGTAGCTCAGTGAGAATGAATGAATGAATGAACGAGAGAGCGAAAGAAAGAAGTGAGCAGAGAAGTGTGCTCAGTGAGTAGTGTGCTCAGGCCAGTGCTCGGCAGGCAGGCAGAGACAGGCACCAAAAGGTGTCCGTTGGCCAGCGACGGTAAACACACAGAGTGCGCACTCCACAGTAGCACACACACACACTGGCCAACTAATTTATCTCCGAGACAACTTTCTCAGCTCTCATTTTACTTCAGTGATCATCTTCACCATTATCATAAAACTCCTCATTATATAAAAAGCAGCCACAATGCCCAGCAGTACGTCAGTGTCCGTTTCAGCAGCCTCGGCAGCAACAGCAGCAGCCAGTACCACCGAAGTTGTCGTTCAGCTCAGCAGCACCAGACAAAAGACGATAAAGATTCCCACCACGGTCGCCACCAGAACACCACCTCCTAATCTTCCTCCAACAAAATCTAAAACCTCTAAAGCCACCACTAAAAAACCTGCTAAAAACAGCAAAATGCTAACCATTTCCAACTCCTCCAACACTCCACCTCCTTCATCTTCATCAACTCGCCGACCTCCAATTCGACGCCGTAGTGGCAGCAACAAGTACTTCGTAGAGTCAATCGTCGGCATTCGCATGATGACCGTCCGCCAGCGGGACGGCCAACGGGTGGCCAAGCCGTACTTCAAGGTCAAGTGGTGGGACTGGCCAATGAGTGAATGTACCTGGGAACCCTATCGAAACCTGGGTCCAAAGTGTGACAGCTACATTGAGGAGTTCAAGCGGAAGCAGGCGGCGAAGAAGAGGAAGAAAGAGGCGACGTTAAAAAAAGCCAAAGAGGCAAAGAAGGTGACAGTGGTGAAAACGTAGAACTCCTCGAATATGGTCTGTGTTTTTCCTTGATAAAAGTCTGGCACTTTTTTCTCTTTTTTCTAAACATTTTAATCATAATCAGTAATCATGTTTTTTTGCCACTGCCGCCACATTCAAACATCTTTTTTTGTTTGGTTGTGTGTGTTTCAAGTATTATCTCTTTTTTTTGTCACACCATTCCACTTGGCATAGACTTATTCTTTATTCACGCTGTTCTTTACAACTTGTAACTTTTTTTCACTGTCACTGTTTTTCCAGCAAACGACAATAAACGACTTACTTTTATTTCTAAAACCTTTTTTTAGAACTTTTCTCAGTTTTTTAAACACAGCTGTCGTAATTGTCGTAAAGGTTGTTATTGTTGACAGTTGGCACTTTGATCAACAACAACAGCAGCAGAAGTGTTTACCAGGTTTTCATTTACAAAATCATCTTTTTGCAAGTTCAAACTTCGTCAAACTTTGTCAACATTTGGTTGTCAATGAAGTCCAGCAAACAGCAAACTTCCAACTCTTCAAATGGCAACTCCGAGTACTGGGTTCGTACCGGAAAACAACTGACCGCCAGTAAGTGCCCACCCAAACACTAAAAGTACCTTAGTTTCTAATCTTCAACAAATCTTATCTTCTCTTCATTTTCAGGTGCCCTATCCGGCTGGACTGAAGCCCTGATCACCTACCCGGCGGAGTACACCAAGATAATGCTACAGCTTCAGGGTGGCAATGGAAAAACTTCCGTTTCTTCTGCTGTTGCTGAAGGAGTTCAACCAAAGAAGCTGACCGGGGCGGGCGACGTCGTTCGAAGCACGCTAAAAAACTACGGCCCACTGGGCCTCTACCGCGGCTTCAGCATCGTCTTTGTGGGCAACGTCCCGAAGTACACGTGTCGGTATGTTTCACCCTAAAACTCCTTTTAAAATTTTTGTTTTTTTAAAAACCTCTTTTTCACTAGTTTTGGCGCCTACGAGCAAATCAAGCGCCTGATGGCCGACCCAACCAGCGGTCAACAGCTAACTTCCGGCCAAAAACTGCTCTGCGGCATGGGCGCGGGCGTCATCGAGGCGCTGGTGGCCGTCATTCCAATCGAGTCCACCAAGGTGAAGTTCATCAATGACCGCCTGAGCGAAACTCCTAAATACAAGGGCCTAATTTCCGGCGTGAAGGAGATCGTTCGGGAGCGAGGCCTGGGGGCGATGTACAGCGGCGTGACGGCGACGGTGGTGAAGCAGGCGTCGAACCAGGCGGTCCGCTTTGCCGTCTTCGAGTCGCTGAAGGAGTGGAGCGGCTCCAAAGAGGCAGACGATGACCAAAAAAGTACCAAAAAGCTGTACCCCGTCTTTGGCATGGCCGCCGGCGCCGCCTCGGTTCTGGTCAATGCGCCCATCGACGCGGTCAAAACTCGGCTGCAAAGTCTTCAGGCGGGCCAGTACACCGGTACGGTGGACTGCATCGTCAAGGTCTATCGAACCGAGGGCCTGGCCGCCTTCTACCGCGGCAGTCTGGTGCGCATGTTCAAGTGCGGCGCCGAGGTGGCCATCGCCTTCACCACCTACAATCTCATTGTTGATCTGATTGGCGCCTGAAAATGCTAGATTTTATTTTTTTTATTTTAGTTTGCTGCTGCTGTTTTAGCGAGACTTTTTTTTTGTTTGAAAAAAATCTCGCTTTTAATCTCGCTCTGTGTCCGTCCGTCCTGT